CATGACTAAATATATATTTATTATATGGAAGGAGTCTGCGAAAGGAGTCAGCTGCCCCGTCGTTGCATAGAAGTTCAAATTTATAGGACTACTGATTGCTAAATGAAGGAGGAGGTGCGTGCAGTTTTCAATCCCTAATTTCCTCCATGTCTCTCCTCAGAGACGTGGCGCATAGCTGAGGAAATCCCCAGGTTACAACTCAGTAAAATCCAAAGCATCTTTAAGTTTATAAAAATATATATGTTCAATGTACAGTTATATATTATCAATCATAAAGGCTCATCCATCAAAAATAAATGGCTAAACTGAAATCTATATACATGTCTTCTCTCGAAGGAGAGAAGACACAAATACACACAGTTGCATACAGAAATACACAACAAAAGAGAAAAAAGCATGAGTGCAGTATTCAGAGGACTGACCGAAATTAACCACATAAAACCTTTTAAACCACACTCAGGGGAAAGAGTGAAAAGAATCAATTGCAAAAAAAAAAATTATGCAGACATTTGAATTAGTAAACAGGTTTGGTAGAAAGGAAGCAGAGCTAAAATATTGCTTTTCAAAGTAATATTTAAAAATGTTTTCAATTTTTAACAACAAAACAAATTGCTTTGTTTTTAAACAAATTTAAAAACAAAATGTGGAGGTTCTGAATGCTGACAGTGTTTTCTTCAGGGAAAGGCCTATTCCACTCCACAGGGTTGTTCATTTTTCACTATAAACTTCATCGTAAAAGAGGTGAATAGGTTTTAAGTTACCAGCACTCCAGGTACGGCTTCAGTCTTTCTACTTTGGTTTTTCCTAATAAATAATGGCTATTAAAAAAATAAATAAAGAAAAAGTGAGATGAAAGGAATTATAGGTGATGGAGTTTTGTTTTTATTTTTATTGTTAATCACTTCAGTACAAGTCAGAATCTATCTGTTGTAGCTCTACTTCTGATTACCCCATGGGTGGTTTTCTAATTCTACACTATTTTCAACGTCTGCCACGCTCCTTCTGAGCATCGCTCTCCTTCTGGGTGCGGGAGGGTAACGTCTTCTCCTCCATTTGTTAAAACTGCAGGGCGAGTTAAGTTTAATTCTTCGCAGCGGCAGAGCCGCGTCCGCATTGGTTGTGCAGCGGACTGCGCATGAATCTAATTAACTTCTGCACCTTTATTTATTTCCTCAAAATAAACTGCTGGCTCCTCTGTTTAGACTATAAATGGATTAAAACAACGTTGCATTGTCTTTAGTTTCCTCTGTTCTGTACTGGAGACTGGAGTTAAAGGTGCCATTTCAACTAAAGGTTTCCAATGAGCTTCCTAACCAAGGTGTCCTGTCCATCACTCTTCAACACGCTGTCAGCTCCCGGTCTGAAAGACGCATTTAGTTCAGTGTCCATGAGATGATATTCAGAAAGGATTTTTTTATTGATTGATTTTAGTTGCCTCTGCGATGAACTCTTTGCGTAAAGTCTGTCATCGACTAGATATATAGATGTGCACACACACATTTTAAATTTTGCCCCCCCAGAGGTAGTCCTGGCCCCCCCTTGGCCCCCGCAACTTTAAAGGTCTAGCTCCGCCACTGCGCCTCAGGTGTTAAAAAGTACCATAACCCAGCATTAGGTGGCGCTATATAAAGAGTAATTAGCCCTGTAAAAACCAGCCCAGTGTCCGTGGCAGCCGAATGCATTCGTCTTCTTACTTTGCTGCCATTGCTAAATCTTCAAGCAGACTACAATTCTAAAACGGCGTCATCGTTCACAACTTTTCTTCCTGTTCGCTGATTGGCCCGGTAAAAAAATCTACTGGAGACGATCCGAGTCAAGGGGAGAAAGCCCAAACTGTGCTGGAAGCAATATTTTTCTTTTCAAGCAGAATTACACAGGAAGGCAATCGGCTAGGCTAAAGGGTAATGCATTTTGACTAATAACTCCTAAGTCCCATGCTGAAAACTTTATATTAACTTAATCCTTAAATGACTGCATTACCTGACGCAGGTCATGCCTATTTATGCTTACCTATCCTCTCCTTTAGCCAGTAGGTGTCTCTAACGTCGATTGCTGAGAAGTTTAAAATTCTGATTCCTAGGAACATTTCTAATAACGGAATTGACTTGGTAGGGAATTTTAACTCAAGTAAAAATAAAACTCCATGTCTTTCCACATTTCATAGGTATTCTTAATAAACAATTGTGTTTTGTTTGTTTTTGATGACTCAACAACTCTATGATAGTTTGGTTCAGTTATTAGCAAAACCTTGTTTTACTGTGACTCTTTTGCATGGTGTGACAACTCAATAATGGCCACCTACTCCCAAAACACAATTTGGAATAGTCTTCCTGCATTTTCTTACGTTGTATTTCTAACAGAGAAACTGCAATTGGCCAAATTGCTATTATTTTTTTTTTAGGTCCAAACCAAACCTCTTCCCTACAAACTTACCAAAGTAGAAGTTGGGACCATCATGAGGCTGAAAAAACTTCCCACAGGCTTTGGCATGAACATCTGCACCTTTGCTGACCAGCAGCTTTACGTAGGACAAACTCCTCCTCTCAATGGCTATGTGTAGAGCAGTCTGACCTATAATAAACATAGCAAAACATATTTTTTATATTTTTTTGTTGTTAAAAACCAAAAAGGACACTATTAATTGGTACTTTAAAATGGTGGAACATGGAGAAAGAGAGCAGACTGACAAGTTTAAGCTTTTATTCAGAAGAAAGTTTACCTTTATAGTAGCTGTCGGTGAAGGCGGCATTCACAAACTCTTTTATGTCACCGATCCTCTCTGAAACTTTGACCAGCTCCTCTATGGTTTCGTTCTTGCCATCTTTGAGGTGCAGCAGAGCTTTCATCAGGGCGGTTTTACCGTACGTCTGATCTGTGGATGTGACCGCATGTTGGGGGAGTCAGAACACAGATCTGCTGTTTGGGACACCTTCTGGGTCATGTACACACTTACACAGAGAGTCAGAGAGTTTCTTCATGTTCTGATGCAAGTACTGGTATAGGCCGTCCAGTTTGTTGACGTCCCTGCTGGCCACTGCTTCAAACAGACGCTCAATGGTGAATATGGAGCTGTCTCTCTTTGGCTGTGATGCCTCACCTCGAATCCCTCTGGAAGCAAAAGTTGTTGCATATCTCAGGGTTTTTACTGCAGATCAAGCAGTTTGTTAGTCTATTATAATCAGTAATAAGTGGCTTGACAGCTCACAGTTCCCCTGCTGTAATGTAATGGCAAATTAAGGCAGAATCAGTTTATGTCTGTGTGCAGAGACTCACTTGTCAAAATTGAGATTGAATCGGATCTGAGGCTTGACCGGCTCCATTTCCTCCTGGTAGTCGGTGTCCATGGGGGCTTTAGGGGCCTCTTTGCTCAAACCTAAAGCAGAACCCAAACCATCCTTCTTTGGTGCTTTTTGCTTCTGTTTCTCCTCCTCCGTTCTGTCATCCGCCTCCAGATGGAAATCAAAAATATCTGACTTCCTCATCTTTACGTAAAACTCTGGTAATCTGGAATGAAACATGACAGGTGTTTTTACATTCAGTGGGTCTCAAAGGGAGCAATCGTACAATCATTTTTGTGTAAATACCTCCTGAGTATTATGAAATATACCATGATGTATTTTCTTGACTACTGTTGTGTTTTAACAATATACTTGAATTAGTTCTGGTTAGAAAGCTAACCATTCTTGGCCTGCGTAGTTCAATTACCAGTTGGTTGTAGTTTTGAGACAGAACAAATCCACGTTAACTCAGCTGGTTAACCTGGATTAACCAGTTGAGAGCAGCCTTGGGGTTCCACAAGGCTGCTGTCTCAGTTCCTTGCTTTATTTATTGTAATA